CAAGACTGTTTTGATATGGAAAACACATACCCCTTATCTTATCAATTGACAAAAATGGCGTTACAGGGTACATTGCAATTATCGATTTAATTCTATTTGCATTTAGCTTGATAATTTACATTCTGCAGCAGATTATGAATTAGTAAATATTCCTATGCAATATGTATCAATGTAGCATAATTTAGTTACAGTTATAAATATAACTTAGTCCTATGACTATATTCATTTATTTATAATTGTAACTAAATTATATAGTTATGAAACTAAATATCCCTCTATGTGCAATTACATTTCCATTAAAATTTACTTTATTTCTTTGCTTCCATTGCACACTGTACTGTTCGAAGTCTAATATCACGTTTTTCCACAAAAATGTTTTCTCAAGTGTACTGAACATAGTCGTAGCAGTCGAATAACCTACTTCGAATTTTAGTTACTTATATAATACGTCAAATGTGAAAGGTAAAATTAAAAAAGACATACTTCTGCCGGCGTTAAGTGGTGAGATGTCGGTAGCATTTAACACGTCCGGATCTGCAATCCGGGAGGCAGGAAAGGAGGCGCCATTTCGACTTTCTCGTAGCTAGAGGGCGTAATTGCAAATGGTCGGAATAACGCTCGACCTGCGCGCGAAACGTTCCATCAGCATCAAATCCATGCCGACATTCTTCGGGTATGGAGATTAATGGTGAACATTAGCAGGGTACGTGGGTGTTCGTCAAACGAACGGTTTCTGCAACGTGGCCACGGGAAGCTGCTTCACTCCCATATAGCAAGTGCTCGCGCATTGGCGTAGGAGCTATCGGCGTCACGGGCAACAAAGCTGCAGAACGCGTTCAGATTTCACCAGCGATTAAGAGTTTATGCAAATCGCGGAATCACGGTCAATTATCTTCATTACAATAATTAAGTATTACCATTCCGTTCATCTGGTTCTATCCGTTAACGATCTGTTGTTTAACGTTAATAACCTGTTAATGGGAATTTCTAGAAACTTTAAGTCTTTGTGCCGGAAGTAATGGGAATATGTATAGCGAATGAAAATCTTTATTCGTTTTTCTTTTTTGAAAATTCGACTTCAAAATTTACAGTATAAAATTGATGAGGGTATCTATAATAAGGGAAAAAAGTACGTATCTTTTTAAAAATTTTAGTTTAGAACTTAAAATGTGAAATTAATTCGTTTTTTTTCCTTTTTTAATTAAATTTGCTTTTTATCTGTAAAACTTAAAATATGAAATTAACAGGAATAGATACTATAATTAAACAATTTTGTTGTTCCTTTAAAAATCTAAATTAAAAATTTGGGATATGAAGAATTGAAAAAATATAGAAAATTTGGAAATAGACGCAATAAGTAGAAATTTTTTTATTTTTTTTAATATATTTAAATACAAAATTTGAGAAATGGATTTAATGGACATTTGTGTATTAAATAAAAAAGTAATATTTTTCTTTTTCTTTAATTAAACTTAAAAATTTAGAGTGTGAAATTTATGAGAATATGTATAGTATAATGAGCAGAAAAATTGTTTAAAAATTGAACTTCAAAATCTAGGACCAAGGATTCATGTAGAAAATGAAATATAGTACGTATATAGAGTACGTTAATGTATTTGTAGAAGAAATATACAAGTAACCAAATTGTGCTGATATTATCTTAAATGCTTCACGTTGTCTTTAAAAGAGTACACTTTGCTCTTTGCACGGTTAGCTAAATTAAGTGACATTTGTTTGACGTTCTCTTACATTCTCTCAGACTTCCGGCTGTGAACTCTACTCTCCACGACAACATCTTCTCTCCTCATCAGTGTGTGGAATAGAGTGTTCTTAAAGTGTTTCACTAGGCAGTTGTAGACGTGTTGACACATCGTCTGTGTTTTGTTCACATTAGACTTCTGACGAAGCAGGTTGAAGTGTTAGAGAATGTAGAAACGTTTCTGCAAAAAAGACAATTTCCTGTTGAAAGATAGGAACTGCGATTGTACAACCAGTATTGCTGTAAGTAACAGTTCCATTAGTACGGAATAAATTAAAAGAAAAATATTGCAATATTAATTGATTAAATTATTATGTATATATAAACATATATTAAGAGATTAAATGAATAGGTAATATGCAAATTACGTAGTGGGAAAGTGATGTAAAATGTCGTAATAATTCGTCTGTTATAGGCTTTTGCATATTCATAACATTCTGTAACAACCTCCATATTTTATTTTAATATGCATAGCAGATAGTAACAAAATTGTAATTTAGATATTGCAGTAATAGACAAAAATAGAATACTAATTGCATAGTTAATTTTCTATATTTGCATATAGTCATATAAAATAGATTGATCAAACAAAATCTCTATTATTTAGTAAAGAAGTAAAAACGGCTATTTTTGGTGTCTTTTACTTTCAATTTATAATGCGATTTGAAGTGTCCAATAGGGATAAAATGACAATTGAATTCCTCATTTTCGATATAATACTAAAATATCTCTCCAATCCAGTAAATTTAAATGCTCTATTGACAGGAAGCTTGAAAGCAGTACGATTTACGATCCCCAAAATTGTATAATTATTTATAACAATTATTCATAGCATTTTACTCAATCATTATATCAAAACAAAAATCTCAATGAAAATCGACCAATATAATTTTTCTATGTAAAATGATCAAACAAATTACCAGTGCACAAAATATAACTCCGTTATTCATTGCATAATTCGCATCAAAACAAATCTATCAATAAAAATACAATATCATTTTCAACGATATAATCTATAATATAAAATAAAATAGACAATTATTTCACACTGCTCCCTTCACCTTCCTCCATCGCATAATTCACACCGAAAAAAGATAAACGTGTTTTAAAACTCGCTACTGCTTCCAAACTTTCCATCAATATTATCCGAAAAGCGGCTCACGTAATACAACACCTACTATTACCGTAGCAGAATCAGATTTATCGCTTCATTTAGACCCGTCGAACCCCGGTACAAAAAGTCCGGTTCTACGCCACGGCGCAGCTCGCGAAACGGTGATTACCGATCGTGGATTGGTTCCTTCCGCGTCGAACGGGCAGCAATATTAGATAGATAGCGGCGTGACTCGGTCCGAGACCTCCAATAAAACAATGAGAGCGAACTCGTGCGAGAGTACGACGTCTCTCCGCTAGAGCTGACGTGGACCGCATAAAATTACACGGTAATCTCGAGTCGAGGCAATGATCTTATCCAGGCGCGTAAAAACGGCGAGGACTGCGAGAGAGGCGCTGCGAGAGGCGCTGCGCGCGCATGACGTTTCCGGAACGGCGGCGCTGCTGTTCCCCAAAGGCGCGCTGCACGGTGAGCGAGTGGAGTCGCGACTCTACGGATGATCGATTTCTGTAAAGACCGAACGGCGTAACGCTTGCAGTGCTCGTAAAAGAAAATCACAGCGTTCCACGATAAAATCGTCGAACCGTACCAACCTTTGAATACGATGCACGATTCGTTCGTGTGTACATGGTAGACGAGTATCGCGATCCACTGTGCCATCAACATTGTGCAGTTTATTCCGAAGTTGCAATAACGGAGTCGTATAGCCAAGTTGCATTGAGCATTCGAGGTATTCGGAATAAGCAGTAAGAGTATTGGCGTTGAATTGCTCGAGCTATTTTTTCGCTAGTTATTTTCGTTTGTTTTGTTTGTCCGAGGGGTAATTTGCGGGATTGAAGGGGACTGAATAAAAATTGTGTACACTGTTGGCTGGAATTATTGGGAGACTCGGGAATTTTAGCTTGTATGTTAGTTCTGTGATAGTGAAAATCTAAACGATCGAATATTTGTTTTTTAGAGAAGATATTTACTTGCTAATTTTTATTTTTTATAACGAATCGAAGATAGTTATTACGTATTCAGGTAAAATGTATTATTTAATATATAGATAAATATATACATAGTATTCTATAATTGCAAAATTTAGGAGAGGTTGATTATGCATGAAAAAAGTAAGTCGAAATTGTGGAATAAAATTTTTCCATAGGAGGCTTCGTTTTTGAAAAAATTAAATTTAGATATTTGATTCTGTGCAGTTCGTAGAAAATATATAACAGTAGTTCTGACGCGATACAAATGATTGAATTGAGAATATTTATAATAACATATACGAGTAAAGATAATATTTTATAACGCTATTTTTTTAATTCAAAAAATAATTAAATACCCACAATCCACCAAATATTTAACCTTAATTTTTTCGAAAACAGAATCCTGTATGAAAAAATTGTATTTTTCGATTTTTACTTATTTTTTTACGTAGAATTACTCTTCCTTGATTTCATAAATTACAGGATACCTTATATATAGGGTGTCCCATCTATTCTATCCAACTTTAACAATATTCACAGTGAAAATAATATAACCAGAAATGTCAAATTTGGACGTACACTTTAGTACTTTTAAATTCAAAATTTCCTGTTTTATCGTACTCCAGCATAAATTATAAACTGTACATTAACGTCCATTTGCAAAGAAATCATTAGCACTATATTACATCCCCTTTTCAACCCCATAATTTTTATAAATCACACTTTGAATAATTAAACTTAGAGGGACACCTTATATAAGAATAATGATACTCATATAATCGTCATTCATTCTGGAAAAATTATGTAACTCTATTTCATAAAGTCACTTCGACACATTTATCTTCAAATTTGGAAGATTTATAACATCGGCGATAAAAATAATTCATCTTCCATTCGCGTTAACTACCGTGCAAATGTAGACATTCGTTCAGTTAAATCGAAACGTTCTCAACGCAACAGCGTTTCGAAAGAGGATCGCGCTGCGTGCAACCATAAATTAATAACCGTTCGAATCATCGATTTGCAGGAAGCCAAAGTAATACGCGAAACATATGAAAGGAACTGCGAATAGCCAGGCTACATAGCTGCGCGAGGTGCCGGTGATTTATTCCACACCGCCATAGGAATGTTACAATTTAAAATGCTCGAACACGAACGTTAAAGATGCATGACCAACTGGTCGAGTGACATAGTAGCTGTCGGTTACACCTGTGATACGAGAAACACGCTAACCGCCTGTTTTTTTCTGCGTTATTACCTAATTTACTGTACGACGTTCCTCGAACACCTTCCGAGCTCGATAGATCAGCAGGAGTATCGAGTAACCGAGCGACACTGCACGATTTCGAGCCAAGTCTCCACGAGACCGGACCCCAACAACGCAATGCACCTAGCCAAGGAAGCGATATGGCAAGCGAATAGGACCGAATGAAAGTAAACACCCGGCGAAATCCACGATGGAATCTTTCAATCCAGTGAAAGTGGTGCTGCTTATGTTGCTTTTGCATCAGGATGACGAAGTGTCCGCCGATTCAATGGTGAGTGCCCACTAGGTACGTTGATCCGCGCTGATCCTTTAACTCCGGCATTGACATCATACAGCGTCTGTAACGATCGAACCACGTCGTACATTCATCAGCCAGCTACCGAGCTACCATTAACGTCTCTATCAATCAGATCTCAATGAAACTCCCATCGAGTCTCGCTAAAAGTTTAATCCAGGTGGTACACCAATCTGTGTGCACTTAGAGGCGAGAGCTAGTAATGACGCTTAATTAATTTCGTCAAGCATCGTGGAGTTGTACAAACACCGGCGAATAGACCATTTAAAAGTTCACGCTGCCCTAACGAACTAACATCCTGATCGTTCTCTATCCGTTAGGCAGTTAAACAGGCTAAACGACGCGGCCGGGTTCGTGCCTGAGCCTCGGCCAAACACACTGGCGTGCTAGTGCCGCTGTAATTTCACGCAACCTCGAAATTACGACCATAAAATCTGCCTCGCGAGACGCAGTCGTGCTGATCTGAGTCGTGCTAGTCTGAAAAAATCGGATTGAAACGAACGACGTCGTTAAACGATCCCCGAGCAGAGATCGGCTAGGTAGCTGAAGGAGGATACTCGAATCATTGGTTTTGCGTCAGGGTCGATTACTATTGACGTATGAGATGGTCTGCAACATCGTGGTCATAGGTAATAGTTACCGATATTGCTTTCCATTCTGACAATCCGATGAATCGGTCAGCAGGGAACACGTGTGATCACGGTGAATCTTCGTAGTTTCTTGAACCTATGATCGATCTTCCTACCAGTGGCGAGAATAGCGTGGTCTGGCCGCAACAGCTGCTGCTACAGGTGTGGCTCATTTGAATGTTATGTGGAACAGCTGGTCCATTTCTTCTCGGACGCATTGTCCTCCGTTTCGCCAAGTGCATGGGGTCTCCCCGAACCTAGATTTCGCGTTTCGTGTGCGGGTTTGCTCCTCGTAATCCGTGTGTTCTACATTTATCAGGGTAGCAAGTGGTGCCCGGTATTCAGGATTATTGGCAGTCGACAGATGGCCGCGTTATTGCGGTTCGCAGAATTTATTTTGCTCGCGGACACGATATTTTTTAAACGTGATAACGATTCAACGACGATGCTGATAATGGTCTGGCGTCGTTAGGGAAATGATTAAAAGCTTACTTCGAGTCCGAGTGGATGCCAATAGGCGAACTTAAGGGTTTCAAAATATCAATAAAGCTTTTAGTACTGGAACTAGGCAAACCAGTCTAGATCAGGGTTTCTCAATGGGAACCGTGTGTCATTCCGGGGGGTCTAACAACGAATTTTTGGGTCTAACATTGAATTTTATATCAATAAGTATTTATATTTTGATGCAGTATAGATGTTTATGTGTATTTTTTATAAATTCAAACTTTTCGAGGATGCGAAGAAAATAGTGAAAGGGGGCCATATGCCAGGGCAGGCTGAGAAACACTGGTCTAGATTACTAGTTTCGAATATTTTATTTTTGCAATTATCGAAAGTATGCGGCAGCTTTTAGAAAAATTGGTTACTGACTTTTATTGAAGTAGAAATGCATATTATATTGACTGCTGCATTCATAAATATATCTAATATACTATCGCACAATATATTGCATTTAGTACCGTATAATATAATTATATTGTGGTATATTATTTACATTATATTGTTAGTATACTACTTTTATATTTTTATGTACTATAGAAATGCATATTATATTGACTACTACATTCATAATTTACTATTGTACTGTATATTACGATATACTATATTACTATAGTACAATATACTATCGTACAATATAATATATTCAGCTTAGTATAATATAATTATATTATGGTATATTATTTGCATTATATTATTAGTATATTGCTTTTATATTGTTATGCATTGACTACTATATTCATCAATATACTATCATACTATGTATTACAATATGCTATACTACTATAGTACAATATACTATCGTACAATATATTGTATTTAGTATAATATAATATAATTATATTATGATATATTATTTACATTATATTATTAGTATATTGCGTTTATATTGTTATATACTATAGAAATGTATATACTATTGACTACTACATTCATAAGTATATACAATATACTATTGTACAATATATTGTATTTAGTACAGTACAATATAATTATATTATGGTATACTATTTACATTATACTATTAGTACATTACTTTTATATTATTATGTACTATATTATTATATTACTATAATCTATATACTATATTTAGATATAGATTATAGGTCAACAGTTCCAATATCGATGACATTATAATTTCCATATATCGATCTTAAACATTTCTCAAACTTCTTTACATAAAATCTTGCAAACCGCATCCCCGCAACAATTAGATTAGGATAAACTTCGATGTACCGTTCCCCCAACGCTCTCATTCCTGACCTACACCAAGAATATAGGTATTATTCCACGCCATTGATATAAATTGCGACGACGATAGTGTTCGCAGGTGTCGCTACCAAACTTCAGATCCGATACAATCCCAGTTGGCTCGTAACGCTAATTACACCATGTACCCTTGTCTACATACCCAGAATCCTATCCCAGTCTTTCCTCCTTAAGCGGATTGTCTCATTGCCGGGACTGCGAATGTAAATGGCAAACCGCCAAGCAGCCAGCGACTGATAATGACTCTGAACCTCCATAATTGGCAGACGAATCACTTTTATCCAAAAGTCCATCAGCAGCGATGGATCAGGCACTCCGGGTGCGATCGTATCCAGCTCGGTTGCGTCCAACCGAGCCACGCCCGTCGTTACGAAAGAGGAAAAAGAAGAAAGAACGGAGGGCAAAGTGAAAGAGAAAAGTAGCGGAGAAGCTTGTACTGGGTCACGATGGCTTTGAGTGCAACTCGTGACCGCGTGGTCGAGAGCGTTGCACCCTGTCGTTTAGCCTGCTTGGGCCGGAACTCGATTTCAGTGGACGCGTTGCACCAGCAAATAGGATCGCCTTTGCCGTTTTGCCGATTTGCAGAAGGGTGGCCAGCGGAACAATCCTTCCCACTTTGCGTCCCCCGTAATTTGCATGATTCGGAATAATGGCGCGAGCAGCAAAGAAACGCACGGTCCCCGGGGTCCAGAGTCGTATCGGACTCGGCTTGACCGAGTTACCTAATAATTTTAGATCGTCGAGCCGGCATGAAATTACACGGCATTATCGGCACTGATGGACACACGGTTACGTGCGCAATGAGACCCTTTCGGGGCTGGCCGTTCGTGGACATATCGTGCCGCCATTCGCAGTCGTCGCGACGTACCCCGACGTCGTTTCATTCCTAGCCGTCGCATTATCCGACGATAATGATGCACGCGAGATTGCACGAGCAATTGCATTGCTGGCTGGGCTGCAGTCGCGTTAAGACAGCCGGTGATGAAACACTTTGTCGAAGCGTTCGAAACGGGGCTATTCTGAGGCTCCTAGCAGGAGTAGGTGGCGCGTGTGAGTTACGGGTGCTGCTGACTGAGAGTTTGGACGCTCCGGTGTTTTTTGAAATTCAATTTCGTGGACAAGAAGAGTCTGGATTTAGGAATCGTTCTATTCAGTTGATTGTTTCAATATTGGAATTAGTGGCTTCGATCAAGTGTCTTATTTCAGAGCATTTGTTTGTGCAGTTACCTCTATGGGGAATATACTAGTAATTTGGGTAAATTGATATTAGCTTCTGTGAGATAGATATGTAATTATTGTCGGTGGAATTGGGACTCTGAATTATCGATGGTGTGAATTAGTTTGGGAAGTAAAACATAAAAATGGGTGAAAATAAGGGAGGAAAAGATCTAATAGAAGATGCTAGAAACGTATACCACAGAGCTTATACAAAGGAAGAGACTTGAGTTTTGTCTTATCTTTTCTTTGTTTATTTATAATCACTAGTAGATGAGAAATATAAAATTAATTTATTAAAATTACTGAACTAATTTTTACAACTTCATCGTGAACACCGTAACTATGCAGTTATAAAATTATCAATTATTGGGTTAGCTGAAGAGTACTCTTGATGTTTTTAATATAAAATAGTGGTTATCTCTTTTTCTTAACAAAAAATGATTTATTGAATAATGTATTGATTATTTTGGTCTATAATTCTTCCCAATTTTATGGCCATTATTTAACACTGAATCTACCACGTCCTGTATGAAGATTGGTGCATGAAAAAATTAATCAAGATCCTTAAAAAATTAGAAGAAAAATCACGAAGTCAAATAATTAGTGATAATGATAAGTGTGTAATTTTTAACCAGAATTCTGACATTTGTTTCAAGTTTATTTATTATGATTATGTCTCTATTATAATTCTTTTTATTGCTTTCCTCCAAAATAAATTTACATATTAATTCTTTGCTCCCCAAAAAGTTTTTTATTCCATCGATCAATGATTCCAACGCATTTTTACAGTGACAAGCTATTTGAGATCAAAATATTTGTTCAGCAAAGAGAAAAAATTACACGTACATGCAAAATTATTCATACAGTGGCCTTTTCCAATTTTATTGGAAAAAACAAAATGAAGGATCAACTTATATGTTTGTATGAAATTTTAAATAGAAAATAAGGACAAAATAAAATATACCTTATACATATTTGTCTCCGTGTTTTGCAGGAAAATTATTCTACTCGTTTCATCTTTGTATGTCTCATAAATTAAGCGAGATTAAACTTGGGAATTGCGAAATACGAACGAAACAAACAGTCCATGACAGTACAAAGCACAAAAGGAAGCTGTATACACGTTATTGCATTTCGCCTTCCTACGTCTGTTTTAGAAATGCAAATAGTGATATCTATATTGTAGCTTCATTACGTTCCGACCATTAAGAATGTTTTATTAGAAATTCTGCCCACTAAATAATAAATATTCAGAGAATTATGTATAACATTCTGCAACAGTCTGCAATTACCATTGAAATTCGAGCAGTATTAGAATACAAACGAAACTATTAATGTATATTTAAATAATTTAATTAGAAACTCTTGTGTAACGTTTAGGAGTTAATTATTCGGGATTCGTAGTTTTGTGTAAAGCAATTAAAACTTCCGGTAGAAATCTCGTTATTCGTAATATTACAACTTCATCGTTACAGAAGTTTAGAAAATGCGCAAACATTTGGTATAAGGTCTTAATCACGGGAAGAAGAAAACTATCGAGAGAAGCATTTCACAGTCTAATTGATGAAGCTCGTTAATCCTTTTTACCGAATATATTACTTTCTTGGTGCGTGGAACGGTGAAAGAAATTAGTTTAATCACATTCGAAACCATTATAGCCGTGATTCTAATTGCTTCGCGTCACTAATTGATGGCGATATGAAATGATGAGATAAAAAGTGTATGATAAACTGTTTGTTCATAGGATCGAGCGAGGAATGTATCTGAAAGATTCACGTCTACCACCACGTTGACGGTAAATATTAGGGATGACGATGATCAAGATCCTTCCTTCATCTACCAAGGCTGTATGCTCTTGGATGGTGCCTGCATTAATCCAGAATATTCAGCATCCGTACGTACATTTATGTCACTTTACACACGTACACTAAGTTATTTTAAATAACTATATTCAAAAATATACACGCTATAAACTATATTCTATATTCTATTTTCTAAGAACAATATTTTTCAAAGACGTTAAAATTATATATTTTACTCGAATTATTTCTTTTATGTCGTTTTGATTTCGAAAAATATAATTCATTTATATTTTTGAATATACCATACTCATTTATTTTATTTATTTTAGTATACGAGATGATTGTCCTGATATTACTATTTTAATTTATATTACTATTATTATCTGTGGTGAAAATTCAATACTTTTGAGAGGAAAAACTTCTAATATTATGATTTTTCTCATACGTGAATATATGGAGGATATGTAAAGGTTAATCTTATTTTTTTAGATGAAATTATATTTTTTTAATGCATTAGTTGACACAGCTCAATAATCTCTATAAAAGGGTATAAACTTATTTGTGTTTAAAAATCATAAATTTGAATATTCTATTTTAATTAGATATGTGCTTAAGAAAGTATTACTCTCTAATCAAAACTAGGTTTATATACAGAAATTTATAATAAGTAAATATCAAATATTAATAATAGGGTAAAGGTTTCTTAGTAATATTCAAACTATGATATTTTTCAAAATTCTAATTGTACCAACTACGTTAAAAAGCATATATTTTTATGTCAAAAATAAAATTGACTTTTACATGTCTTTAACATATTTCATCCATAATAATAGTGACATAAATTAAAATTGTAATATCAAGTGAATCACTATGTATAGTGCTATTCTTTGAGATAAACCAGATTAATCTTCACTTTCTGTGCACCAGTAATATAGCTCTATGGAGAACACGCATGATTCTAAACTAGTGAATGCCTGCTGAGCTAATTTATTTCGAATTTACACCTTTATCGACAGTAGTCGAACGAACATAATTTATTACATAATAAATACGTAAGGAATAATAAATAACGCGCTTAATTTATCGGTGGGTGTAACACTTATTATTAAGCTACACCATTAATTCCTTACACGTTTCCTACTAACGGGTGATAATAAGCTGAGATATAACTGACATTTACATGCAAGTTCGAATAGATACGTTTCCATTTCAACTACTCTCTTACGTCATACTCGAAAATGAAACGGGTCTTGCTTCGACGTAACTGCTGGAGGGACAAGTAGAGCAACTTAATCGTACGAGCTGTAGAAATGAGTAAAAAGACCAATTAAAACTTTCGCCTGAAATAAACGCACTGTTGCAGTATACACTCGTACACGAAGGTATTCGAATGCTTACATTTATTACGTTCAACAAATGAAATATGCATGTTTTAATAAAATATTTGAAACGATATGATAAATACAGAAGAAAATCCTAAGATAGGAGAAAATATGGTGGTAGATAAGGAGAAGGTCTCAAGATTATGCCAGTCAAATTAGAAAATAATTGGCCAATATATATTTATAAAGTTCATTGAAGATATGGACCGTGGTGGCGCTAGTGAGTTAATGGCAAATTGTCGTAGGGCTGTCATAAGCAACAAAAGACAAATTGATGTCATTTTAAAACTCCCTATTCTTAATTAACGATACTTTTCACTAATATTATACATTTCTTATGCAATATTTTTATATTTCTATATATTTCGATATTTATTAAGTTCATTGGAGATATGGGTCGTGATGGCGCTAGTGAGTTAATGGAAAATCGTCTTAGGGCTGTCATAAGCAACAAAAGACGAATTGATGTCATTTTAAAACTCCTTATTCTTAATTAACGATACTTTTCACTAAAATTATACATTTCTTATGCAATATTTTTATATTTCGCCGATACTACATACTTATAATAAATATATGAAACTATTTTCTATAATTTTCGTATAATTTTAAGAATTTCTTTTTGATCTATGCATCATTATCGTTTCAAATATTTCAATGTAACATTTAACATTGCATATATCATTTTTTAAAATCAGCACATGCAAACGTTCGAATACTTATGTAGATGTACAAGTGTATATGTTAAACAGAAGTTCTCCTACACTTTCTTACTTGCTCGCACAATGCACACTATTTGTCCAAATTATACAACGATCAAGCGAATCTTACAATGGGAAAACGTAAAGTCTACAGCTCGAGCCGTAACGGGAGAATTTCTTGAAGAAAAATCCAGGCTAGACTAACCAAGCAAGCTTTAATATGGCGACGCGAACAATCGATACAGCTCTCTTTAACGGTTGTTACTAGCACAAATCGTGCACTGGTAAACGGACGTAAGTTCTGATTTCGCACACAGCGCGGCGCGCTATGCAAATGCGCGTTATCGTGCATTGTGAAGTGAAAGACGACGCCAACCCTCCATTCTTAATACTCGACCGATTTCTTTGCGCTGAAATCTCGCGCGACACCGTTCTAAGTTATCGACGAACCGGTTCCATGCATTGTAACTTTTTCACCATCAGGTATCGAGCGGGGTGTTATCCGGGATACTCAATATATCGCCGGAGAAAATACAAGCCGTTGATATGGACAGCATAAACGCGCTCATTCATTACTCGTTCCTCAGTGGCAGTCCATCGAATTATCGGGAATTTTTCGAAATAAACCCAAACACCGGTGCCGTGAAGCAAATCAAAGCGGTCGATACAACGGTTACGAAGAAGTTCGATATCATCATCAAGGTAGGTTTCCATGTAACGTTTGGTTAACTTTTATCGAGGGGAGCTTAAGTTTTTGATAGTATAATTTTTATTAGTATAGTATAATTGATAGTACAATTTTTATTAGTACAGTATAATTGAGAGTATAATTTTTATTAGTATAGTATAAATGGTAGTATAATTTTTATTAGTACAGTATAATTGGTAGTATAATTTTTATTATTATAGTATAATTGGTAGTATAATTTTTATAACACTTGCTTGGAAATTTATGCTATGTATGAAATTTTTAAGTTTTAGTTTCTTTGAAATTCATATTTTTTAAAGTTTAATAACGAAATATATATATATATTTAAATATTGAAATACATTGTTATATGTATTTTGAAAATATTGGAAATTCATAACGAAGTCTATAAAATATGTGTTCAGATGTTGTATAACCTTCTTAGAAATTATGCATCTGTACCAATTTTACACTAGAGTTGTCAGTTGATAATTAGAGATATTTAGCGTTTTTCTAAAAAATAGTGCTAATGATAAAATTGCAATTCAATAAATAGTAAACTAGTATTAATTATAAACGTTATGTTTCTATCTAATGATTTATTTGTCATAAAAAATTTCCTAAGATATGACTCGCTAATTTTATTAACAAATATTAATACAAAAATTAATGTAAATAAACAAAAGAATTATAATTTTCTAATTAAATTTTTCTTTTCCAATATATCTTATTTTATGAACATATTTCTTTTATAATTATTTTAAAATATTGGATACTAAGGTATTACTATTATTAAATATTAGAATGTATTTTAATATCATTAATAAACTTAAATTAATTTGAAATGGGCGGAGATTAATTCAAAATTAGTAAATTAATTACTATTTTAATTACACTTTCGGTTACAATTAATTAATCGAGGAAATTCCAGTAAAAAGCAACACAAACTAACCTCATCTATAAACACGCATAATACCAATACATCTACTCCAACATTAATCAACAATAATTAATTTATTTGTTCATTAAAAGGCCGTGGAAGTGTCAGAAGCAAAACGATCAGCCACAGCTAAATTAACTATTACCGTGAAGCCAGTCGACAGCAACCCACCAATTATAACAGCATCGAACGTGGAGGGTTTCGTCGATGAGAATGCCCCGGTTGGAACAAAGGTTATCGACAAAAATGGCAAACCTATAGTGCTCACCGTTTCGGACGCTGATCTGGTGAGTTTAATCTCCGAGCTTGATCTGGCTTCATTCAATTTCCCTTCAGATCAATCGTTCAATTCCCTTCGACCTTAACGAACGTCTCTATTCATCCATTGTAACGAGATCCCGACGTAAGGATCCAGGAAAAATCGGTGACAGAAGCAACAGCAACAGAAAGAGTAAGAATATTCTATTCTAAAATGAATATTTACATCGACCCTTACGAAATCACTTTCTTCGAGTTACCAAGGAAGTCGATTACGCAATTGAAATAATCTTCCGTGAAAATAGCCGTCCTCTCGAGGAATTTGCATATCGTTAAAAATAATACCCGTTCAGGAATAAGATGTTCAAGTCGAGTCAGGGACTTCAACCAAAATGTAAAATATCAACATAATACCGGTATTCTTCGGTTATACTTTCATAAACCTTGCAGAGATCGAAATACAAAAATACTGGCATCATTAATACCACGCTATATGAAAATATCCGTATATTTACATGTATTTATCTGCAATTTTCTTGGTTATTTTATTTTATTACAACTTCCGAGATTTCTTCTTTTAAAGAGAGGTCTGAAACCTGTATTACTTTGTAGTCACTGTTATGATACTAAAATCTCATATTGATGTCGATGCAGTACCATAATTACTGTAATATTGAAACCAAATTGATAATCATTATTTTTGAGGGACAGAGATTTTAAGTTAAAGTGAATATGATTTTAGTAATACTTATAAATGTTGATTTATTAAGAAACTTTAAAGTCTTAGAGTCTTAACACGTTCACAAGTAAGCGTTTTAGAACAGCCTTAAGACGATTTTTCATTTAACTCACTAGCGCCACCACGGCCTATATCTCCGCAATAATAAACGTAACGTAAGTATCGTCTATATTGTTCAATTATTTTCTAATTTTGCTGATATAATCTTGAAATTTTCTTTTTACTACGTGTGTCATATTTCTTTGCACGATATTATTGACCCAAATTTCAATTGGTTGTGAAATTAACACTAGAATTACCGATCTTTAGTGGGCACGTTTAGCTATAACGTGCACAGATTATAGTAATTTTTAGCTGTACGATGAATATGAGTGAATATATTGATTACAGCTCTTTCTTAATACGGGTTGATACCAATTTTATTCTTAAAGTAGGTGTATGTGTTCGGTGATTGCAAAAAGGAAAATTCTGGGACCAGTCATTTTCACTGAGTTGGTAGTTCTAGTGTTAAATAAAGCCTGGAAATGATATATCAGTATCAGTACTGTTCAGTTTCGACATAGTCTTTCCTGACGTAATGGTATCATGCCGATTTTAAGTCTTTGAATCATGGAGACCGTGTCTTCTCTTTCACGGTGAGGAGCAAATAAGCGTAAGCGTAAAATTTCCGATATATGATATCGCGTGTGACGGATCCACTCGTATTCATGAAAATTTCCAATATCCGCGAGTAGATTAACTTGCAGTTGGTACGTTTCATTTCACCAAGACATCGACCGTTCCGCGGAAATTACGGAGTCAAAATTGCACGGTGGACTCCGTTACGGTTTCACCATGATGAAATTGCCGTGGCACGGTCACTTGTTAATGGACTCGTTTTCAGAGACTTTATCGCGTGGAGACGACAGCTTAGCCTCCCACGCCGTTCAAAGTCGTTTATGTGTCGATAGAATATACGTGGTATGTTTTCTTTTGTTTAACTTATTATGTTCAATATTTCGAGCATTGAATTTTATTCCTGGTGGTGTTGAACTTTTATATTCTAGTTAAATTATTTATATTTCTTTCATATAAAATTTGTATAATAACACTTACATAATAAATAAATATAATATTTAATTATATTTTGTTAAGTTAAATGGTGAGTAGGATACAGGTATTTAGAAATTGAAAAATAAATTTTTGACAGTTACTGTAGATTGTCCATTCTGATAATTAATAATTAGTAGTATAGATCGATGAAAAGTCATACTTGGGTGAAAAAGAATTGTCAATGTAAAAAATTCTATATGACAAATCTGATTTTATAATTGTAATTTTATAATTATAATTTGATTCTTTAAAATGATTTTTTCTCAAGTTTATATAGTATATATATATGTATATACGTATTTATTCGTTTCTTTCGTTTCAGGTATGTTTATTAATTAACCTTGCTCACACCTTATGATAAAACAAAAATCATTGAAATATCTTTTTATACTTCGTATTTTTAACACAAAAGAAATGTTTATTTTGTAATTGTCATTTATTAAAATGTTTTTTAATTTTTTAAAGAATTCATCTAATTAATATATCGTAATTTTCTCAAATCAATTAATTTTTCTGTTCCTAAGTATGTTTTTCAAAATGGTATTAGAATTCGATCTTGTTGTCAATTTATTCATTGTCCTACTTTGGTGTTAGGCATCAGTGACAAGTAACTGCGTTACACAATGGATACGTGTGCAGCACGTGGAACGTTCTCCTTGATATTTGTAGGCTGCATATTATGTCAATGAATAGTTTCCACGCTTCGTTCCTGATAGTTCGAAATTCAGTGCCACCTGCCATTATCGCATACGTGGAACGTATTGAATACTGTTAATCGATAATGTGTATACGCAAATACAGAATGGTATGGCCTTGTATTTGGATACCGCTTGGCCAATCTAGGCAAACAGTTCTGCCTTCCATTGTAGAATTCATGTACAAAGCATAACGTCTCTCTATCTGGATTTGAAAATAATTATTTTTGAACGAATATGTTCTTCAAAATGACGATCAAATAACAGATATCATAAAATATCTTGTTTGAAACTTTCGTAATTTGTTTTTCATAAATAATAATGATATTATTGTTCCTCGAAATAAACAAAAATTTAATTTCTTATTTTAGCAGCTTTTGATATTTATTTTTCAGTTTTGAACTGTGATAAAAATTCTAATAGTTTGTATACGTGATTTCTGTTTCGTTTTATATTTTATTTCTAAGTTTATTTACAAGGTATTTAACCCAATTAATTATTATGTCTTTGGAAAATGATTTATTATTTATTTATCACATTATTTAATTTAATTTAATACTTGTTGTGATTTTCTATCATTTATTATTATTTGAAAAACATGATTTCTTATTTTATCTATTTTATTAATTAACAAAAATTACTATAATGACTAGAAGGAGTAACCAACGAATTATTAAATGTGTCTAGGGTCCCGAAGATCCGAAACCAGCTTACACTTTCGAATTAACTACCAACTACTTCGCGATTGAGTCATCCGGGATGTTGATTGTAAACGAGGAGAATTTGGACCGCGACCCTCCGAGCCCTGGTCGTTTCCGGTTTCAAGTGGTCGCCAGAGAAAAATCAGGCGTCGCTGCTTCGGCGCCATTGTCTTTTGTCGTGATATTGAACGACGTTAACGACAATGCACCTATGCTTCCCATGATAGCACCTATCACTGTACAAGCTGGAGAAACGAAGAGAGTGGTAACAAAGGTAAGGATTATTTACGAATTCTTTATTATAAATATTTAAAGAATAAAATATTTATAATAAATAATTAAATATATAAACCTATAATATATAATTAAATGTACTATACATATAATGTATTCCAATGTCGATAATTGAAATAGTAGTAGATAAATAGATATATTTAACCACGTTTTTATCCGAATAAAAATCAATACTTATTTTGTTTATAATAGCTGCATGTTTTCAGCAATTGCAAAAATAAAATATCTGAAGTCACTTAGTTAGACTTGTTTAGTGATTTTAGAGTTAATGAGGTCATTAATGGAGCAAGAAGATAGGAATATTGGATATTAATAGATATAAACTTATTTTTGAAATTAAATTCATAAATACAAGTATCGTGTGATTATATTAGCGACAATTGATCTATCCATTGATCTAGTATTGCTATAGAATTTACATGATGAATACATTAACCCAATAGCTATAGTACTGTGTAGATGGCAATACTCTGTACTGTATTGTTAATAGTTAATATCTAGTACGCTCAAATTGATTGAAACTGATATATTGTAATATTATAAATACATTCTTTTCAGTTTTCTTCTTCTTAGTTCTCATTTATTTATTTTTACATATACTCGATAAATAACTTAACTCTTTTCGTATATTAACCCTTTGCACTCGAGAGGTGACTCTCAGTCATCATTAGATAAAATTTCGAAAATCGATATTAATTAATATGTCAAATTTAAGATAATATAACGGTATACGAGCTATCGAATTCAAATAATTTTACGTGTTAATTATTATACGATTTCTTATTTATTACTAAAAGAAATATCGCCAGCTTTATAGCAGAAAATCTTTGAACTCCTACTCATCTTTAGCCAAAAGATCGTCCAGTGCAAAGAGTTAAAATTGTGAAATTTACAAACATCAAATAATAAAATAAAAATAATCCCATAATGAAATGCAACGAACAAAAATTCGAAAGATTCCTATAATATTATTTAATTACTCGTAATAATTTATAATACTTAACACGGTAAATAAATAGCAATTCTAATTACACATAACTATATAGAAGACTACATAGAAAACTACATAGAAAATAATTCCACCTAATTTTCCACTTCCGTTTTATATTTATTCCCAAACATATTCAAGTATCTCTCATAACAAAACTATTAAGTACTCGAAACTCGTTTCTCCTCGTACACCTCTTATCGATCTCTATCATTCTCAATCATACCCTCGAGTATGATTTTTCTTTCCCCACTTCTCCCCATTATGAAAAAAGAAAACAGGAAATCAAATAAAAATCTAACGATTGTGCAATTTTCACGAGGAAAAAATAAATTCAATCTCTCTTGATTCCAGGTGGAGGCAACGGACAACGACGAAGGGGAGAATGCCGAAATAACTTACAGCATTTATCACGTGTCGAATAACGGACTGCATAAATTCAAGATCGACCCGAAGACCGGCGTAATCGAATCGGTGAGGAAGCTGAACGCCGGCGAGCAATTCAGCATCACCATCCAGGCAACCGACAAGGGTGGAAAATATTCGCATACGATCGTCGAGGTGAACGTGATTCCAGGGCCGAATACAAGGAGCCCGGTGTTCCAGCAGTCGGTGTACGAGGTGCAAGTCAGCGAGGGAGCCTCGATTAATTCCACGGTTGCGACGATTACTGTAAGTGTTCGTAATTACCCCTAACGATCATCTTCGTTCCACGCTAACCCGTAAACGTTGTCAAAGGAGCGAGAGGCTGCTGAAAGTGAAGGGCAACTCTGTCGGTGTAGCGAGGATTTTATTAACAAAAATGCTAAATAGGTTCGCTTATATGATTAACAAGAAAGGCTAGAGTTATTTTCTTTCAAACACGCCGTTAAATGGTAAAAATGTGGGATTTTTCATTACGCTTAATCTTAAATTGAAATGGCTAAATAGCGCCTACTTAAAGTCGTTTTTCTCCTTTCCAAGGCAGAATAAAGTGGCTGCATGAAAGACTTGGCAGTCGAGGTACACCTTGAAACTGTTTATCTCGGAATACTTTGGTCCAAGTGGAAACTAAATGTTTTGGCGATGAAATAATATTGCACTTGGAAGCTGAAAATTCAGCAGATGGCTCTGTTAAATATTATGTCGAGTCATCGGTTAAATTAATTTCTTTCTTTTTCTGACAAAAAGTGTGCAAGTCCTTCGGGTTATAGATTTAATTGAAACTACTACTCGATAGTTTTTGAGATATTTGTGATTAAAGTTTTATTATTCTTAACTAGAGATTTCGAGAGATCTCTAGAGAACTTCGAATAGTTATCGATAGTTATCAAGTGGCATTGTAGTTTAACGACACTTGATAAATATTCGAAATAAATCTGTAATTAAGGCAATAATAAAATTCTAATCATAAATATCTCGAAAACTATTGAGTAGTTACTATTATAATGATATATTTTCTTGACCTGGAAGACTAAATATACAAACTTACAAAGTTTCAACTAAATTTACGACTTGAAGAACTTGCACTCTCCTTCTGAGTTTAGTGTCGTGTTGACAGTGTGGTTATTAGATACAACGTGGTCATTATTGTTAGTTTATGGATTTGGTGGTGCAGTTTACTCTCTTTTAAATATTACAGGGTACTTTCGATGTGTTTCTGTGATGTTAGAGTCGTATTTAGAAATTTACATTTGTGTCTTTGCATAATTAATTATATGTAATACCTTTGTATCTTGATATACAATTTAATTTTTGCTAGATTCATAGAACAATATTACTAATATTAAAATTTACAATTTCTTTTATTTAAACAATTCAATATTTGTTTATAGTCATATCTGTTTTATATATTTACTGTAAATTTATATATTTCTATTCAAAACCAAACTGTCATGAAATTAATTAATTATGTATAATACCTAGGTATATAATTTAATTTTTCTCAGGTTTAATTTTTCTTAAGTTCATAGAATAATCACTAATATTAAAACTTACAATTTCTTTTATTTAAGCAATTCATTATTTGTTAATAGCCATATTTATTTCTTACATTTACTGCAGACTTATATATTTCTATTGAAAAACAAATAAATTGTCATGAAATTAATTAATTATGTGTAATACCTAGGTATACAATTTCATTTTTCTTAAGTTCATAGAACAATATTACTAATATTAAAATTTATAATTTCTTTTATTTAAACAATTCACTATTTGTTTATAGTCATATCTGTTTTATATATTTACTGTAAATTTATATATTTCAATTCAAAACCAAACTGTCATGAAATTAATTAATTATGTGTAATACCTAGGTATACAATTTCATTTTTCTTAAGTTCATAGAACAATATTACTAATATTAAAATTTATAATTTCTTTTATTTAAACAATTCACTATTTGTTTATAGTCATATCTGTTTTATATATTTACTGTAAATTTATATATTTCAATTCAAAACCAAACTGTCATGAAATTAATTAATTATGTGTAATACCTAGGTATACAATTTCATTTTTCTTAAGTTCATAGAACAATATTACTAATATTAAAATTTATAATTTCTTTTATTTAAACAATTCACTATTTGTTTATAGTCATATCTGTTTTATATATTTACTGTAAATTTATATATTTCAATTCAAAACCAAACTGTCATGAAATTAATTAATTATGTGTAATACCTAGGTATACAATTTCATTTTTCTTAAGTTCATAGAACAATATTACTAATATTAAAATTTATAATTTCTTTTATTTAAACAATTCACTATTTGTTTATAGTCATATCTGTTTTATATATTTACTGTAAATTTATATATTTCAATTCAAAACCAAACTGTCATGAAATTAATTAATTATGTGTAATACCTAGGTATACAATTTCATTTTTCTTAAGTTCATAGAACAATATTACTAATATTAAAATTTATAATTTCTTTTATTTAAACAATTCACTATTTGTTTATAGTCATATCTGTTTTATATATTTACTGTAAATTTATATATTTCAATTCAAAACCAAACTGTCATGAAATTAATTAATTATGTGTAATACCTAGGTATACAATTTCATTTTTCTTAAGTTCATAGAACAATATTACTAATATTAAAATTTATAATTTCTTTTATTTAAACAATTCACTATTTGTTAATAGTCATATCTATTTCATACATTTACTGTAAATTTATATATTTCTATTTAAAAACACACTATCATGAAATTTTAATAGTAGATATATTAAAATAGCATAATTTAATTTATTGAACGTATTTGAACATAATTTTAATACAATATATAAGATCATATATTATATAGCAGAATTTTAATTATATATTTGCTCGATATATTCGAATGTTCTAATAATTTTGAAATATATGGGTACTTTCCAAAACACTCTGAAAGATACAGTGCTATTATGATGGATTGCACTCGTTATTTCAATAGTGGGGATTAATAAATCAACCCAATAAATTCTCACGGACTGCATAAAAAGGCACGATACCCAGACTACGAATTAGTAGCAATTAGTAAGAATTCCTAACGATAACATTACACGTTCCAGTAGATAGGATACATATTGAAAATTAAATGCGTATCTATAATACATTAAAGGAACACTGTAGCTATTTTCGTTACCTCTTTTACTTCAAAGTACACTACATCATCATTAATTTAACGTCGCATGTAGGCAGTCAGTACGCGTAATATGCTAGCTATACGACAGCATATGGTAAATACGTACTCCGTAAGCTATAACAGTTTCTTTGAGGTGCTTTGTTGAAGTTGATTAATCGTAGTGAAGGGAACGTAAAAGTTGTTGGCGCAATTTTTCGAAGCAACGTAATGAGAACGATGTCAGTGATCTCTTTTTTGCATCATGTAGTAATTTATTTTAAATTTCATCATTCAGAAACGAGGATTTTAGTAATTTTCAAATTATATTCTAAATATTGCTTATGCGAAAAGCGTTCCTTCCTTTGGAACGTATTTTTGAACCCGACTTAAGATATTTCCAAATAAGGTCATTGGTTTACGTGTAACTGGTTTACACGTAAATATCCATCTACATGTACACTTGAAATCAAGTTTTCTTAAGAGCATGGAGGGTTCGAGAGTTCGAAAGTTTCGGGTGCAAGTATTATCCAGAGAGTTAGATGTACTTGCATGAAACTACTGCAATAAACAGTTAACCAGTTTATTTGATATTGCTCGTGATAAGTTCCCTGAGTTTCTTCTATGACCTGAATTCGAAAAGATTGCCATACTTTTAATTTTTCATTTTTTGAAAACATTATTTAGTTCACAAAATAATTTTTCTTAGCTTCAAAATTATCTTTAATGGTAAAAGAAAAAATAACTATGTATCACATATAGCTTTGTTTAAAATTATATTTAATAATATTACATATAATTTAAATTTTTCTTAGCTTCAAAATTAAAAAAATTATTTGTGCAAGAAATATGCAAAGAAATTTCTGTTCGAGTTTTGCACCATCAGCTATTTGCTAGAAATATATCTGTGCATAATATTCGTCTAATCTATATGATGAAATTATTCATTTCAAACTGTCATACTTTCTATTTTATAATCAAATCTATTTCGTTCAAATTAAGTACGCATCTATCATTGGTTTCATCAATATCGAATCCCATTTAATATCTTTATTTGAACTTGCAATATTTTCTGTATATCCGATAAGTTATGCATTTATGCGAGAAATATGCACTCATGCAAATCAAATGCATTATGCAATATATAGAAAATAGAAAACTGTATTTTTAGAATCCTCTGATGACAAACCATATGGAATCTTTAGATCATGTTCAGGTTACGTAACTTCAAACATTTGCTATAAAAATATACATTCGCATATATATATATATATATTCGCATATGCATTCGATATCTAATAAAAATTCCAATTTTTATCTTCCAGGCTCGTCATACTTTACTATTTAATATTCAAATCTGTTTCATTAAAAATAAATAAACATTTGTCCCTGACTTATCCGATGTCAACCCAATTTGACATCCTTATTTTTGTCTACATATATTTAACAATTTAAAATATAAAAGTATCTGTAATATACATAACAGATGTATGTTATGTAATTATATAACATATAATTATCATATATATTTAATATATAATTTAATATTGGTTAAAGATAAATACACATTTGCCATTGATCTAACCAGTATGAATTCCAATTTGATACCCCTGTCACTAATCGAATTCACTATCTCTCTATAGTAATTACCTTATCCATGTAATAAACTTGTCGACTTAATTCTGCTCAACAGGCAGTTGATCCAGAAAACGACCCAGTGTCGTACTCGATCGTCTCGGGGAACGATCTACGTCAGTTCGCGATCGGTGACAAATCAGGCGTGATCACCGTTATAAGGAAGTTAGACCGGGAGGATCTGACTCGTTATCAGCTGGTGAGTTGATGTTCGCGAATGGTTTAAGCACCGCTATGAACACCGGTGTTCCTACCTGCTGCGAGCGAACGCAGTCCTCGTTTTGTCCCAGCTCTGCATGCCATTTCGCGGTCTTATCCGACCTCGCAGTCTTATCTGACCACGATCGTTACTTCTGTCACGCTAGCTGATAAAGGCCGAGGACTCCGGCGGCCTGTTCAACACGGCAACGGTGAACATCAAAGTGACAGACATCAACGACAAGAATCCTGAATTTGTGGATCTGCCTTACGAGTTCACCGTGAAAGAGGGAGAGGCGCGGAAATTGATTGGCCGGGTGCACGCTGAGGATGCTGATGAAGGGATCAACGCCGAGATAACCTATTTCGCGCCAGACGATATACCTTTCACGGTAGACCCTGAAACTGGAGACGTGTTGACGAAGATCGTTTTGGACTACGAGCAGAACGACGTAAGTATTTAACCCTTTCGTTGTGAAAGGTGACTGTCATTACTCAACGTCGAAAGCTCGTATACCGAAGCAGCCTGCAGTCATCCGACGTCTAAGAGCATGTATGGAGAAGGTAACTGTAATTGGTCCAACTAGACGAGATAGCAAAGCGAAACGAGTGCACGAGCCTGTCTTCTCCTATCACATCACTTTCTTACAAATGTCTGTTTATTTTTACTGATTTATCTCGTTGGAGTGTACTGACCGTGTACTGCAGGTCACTATACCTGATCAATAAAGATGATTATAGTCGTGTAACTTTGAAGGCTGTATATATAATGAATTCAAGATTATAGTCACAATTATAGTCACCTATTGTTTTATGCAAAAAATTGCTTATTGTCCGAATTTGATTATGCATGTATTTATTTATAGTTTATCGTATACTGATTTGAAATAATTAAAAAATAGAAATCGAATATTAATTTTTACTTCCACTCCACTCGATGTATGACTGGATTGACATATAGTCGTTATTACAAATATTATATTACACGTACAGTCATATTGACATATAGTGTCAATACATATGTTTCTGTTACATTGTTTACTACGTCAATTTTTAATAAATATGCGTATATTATATATTTTTATATAAAATATATTATATGATATAGTATTTAAATAATTAAAAAATAGAAATCAAATATTAATTTTTACTTCCACTCCACTTGATGTATGACTGGATTGACATATAGTCATTATTACAAATATTACATTACACGGACACTCATATTGACATATAGCGTCAATACATATGTTTCTGTTACATTGTTTACTACGTCAATTTTTAATAAATATACGTATATTATATATCTTTATATAAAATATATTATATGTTATAGTTTCTAATAAATATCCTTTATTTTTGTTATGTATACAAAAATATTTTTCGCTTGTTCGAATTAGTAACGATATACGTATAATAAATTAGCAGATAATAGAAAATATGATATATACAATAAATACAACTATAATACAGTTTAACGCGAACAATTTCAAAAAATATTTATTATTGAACTAGTAAACATTATAGATTCAAGTATCGAGATGAGTGTGTACAAAGTATCACGTGACACTTGAGAACACGATAATAATATGAATTTCTATAAACCAATATTTATGCACAATTAATTTCGTGAAATCTGTCGAGATTGAAATTTTAATGGGAAATAAAAAAAGAAAGTTTCTGAAGTTTAATGCGAATTGCCGGTAAATTGCAATCATCTCGTCTTCCAGGAATATAAATTTGTGGTAACGGCGAGAGATGGTGCTCCAGATTATCGTTTAGCCACAGCTACAGTGACAGTGAAAGTCATAGACGTGGAGGATGAGGTTCCCGTTTTCCATCAAAGTAGCTACGAGGCTCGAGTTAAAGAGAACATGCCAGATTACACGGTGCTCCAAGTAACGGTAAGATGGATTTATGTAATATACTTTAATATAACGTTATACAATATAATGTAACGCGTTGTGCCTAGTTACCCACGATCAATAGAAAATAGTTTCCAATTTGAATGTTACGTAGACCGGAACTGCTCAGAGTGCATAAAATAATCGAATACCTGGAATTCAAATTGGGTAAAGCAGATTTTTTCCAAGCAAATTTAATACTCGACTAACCAAGTAATATTTTCAATCAGTTGAATTGATCGAGCAAGCTTGGAAAAGATTTGATTTGTTTAAATAATTTTTACGGTATATATATAATAATTTCATATTTTATAAAATTTCAATTTTTAAAAATTATTTAATGGACTTGTTTGCAATGTTGATTTAATAACGGTAATTAATATTTGATGAATACGTAATCCTTTTGATGTCAAAGTAAGCAGAATAACTAATATAATAAAAATAACTGGAAATTAAATCAGGAGTATAATTAATCTCGTAATTTGATATAAATTTCAGCGAATTCATAATTTCTCAAATAACCCTGCAGAGTAATTTGAATCTCTATTATTGGATTTAAGTTTAATTAAATTCTAGAAGTCAACGGTGAATCCGCCTAAAGCTCTTGAAAGTATCAAATTTTTGTAAACTTGCTAGAAAAATCAGAAGTATGACGAATATTCGAGTTTGCACGATTTTAATTAAAATATTTAAATCAAATTTATCTCGGTTTATTTTGTCGAACTTCGTTAGTAATTTTCACGCAGACAAATTATATACTGGAAAATTATAATACTGGAAAAAAGCAAATTCTAAACCGTCCTTCTCGAGCCTAAAGCAAATTCTGTTAATTCCAGGCTGATGATCCGGATACAAAAAAGCAGATCACATACATGATCAAACAAGGGGATACCGAACTCTTCAGTATAGATCCAAAGACTGGAATTATAAAAACGATTCGCGGTTTGGACTATGAGAGAGAGAACCAGCACATCCTGATAATAGGCACTGTCGAAAACACCAGCGATTCACCTGGCTCTACTACAAAGGTCGTGGTCAACGTTCAGGTATCGATCGCAAGAATTTTTCCAATTTCTTAAATGCTTTTAACCGTTTGAATTCCCAAGCAGCGCGATCGCGCTCAACTTTGCTGATGCACGTATATACGTCACATAGTACCAACAAGCGCTATTGCGACGATTGGGATTTTTCGACATTAAATTAACCCATTTACATCCAAGCGCGGAATATTCCGCGAGCCACGACTGTCATCTATCACCGAGCGCGGAATATTCCGCGAACCACGACTGTCGTCTATCACCGAGCGCGGAATATTCCGCGAGCCACGACTGTCGTCTATCGCGCTGTTCAGGCTTTTTCGACCGTATTCTTCCAAAAACCTCAAGCGCTACTTGGGACTCAAACGTGTTAATCCCTTTTCTTCATAAGTGTAGGGATATGTTTGATTGGCAGTATAAAAGAATAAGTGGTTATTTTATTCTAATATATATATATGGGATGCTATTTTTCGAAGAACAAATCGAAAACCGGTCAATACGGATTTAGAAAAAAGAATCGAAAATCGACTAATGCCATTATGGAAGACTATTTTAGAATCAAGCTAGTCGAGTTTCGTGGCCTTTACATGGACGTGAAACGCAGGTCAACGGAATCGTGGTCGGCAAGGTGGCATGATTTTCACGAGACCAAATCGCGAATTGACAAAGTGACGTAATTTTTACGAGAAAAAATCGCCAATCGGCTGAATCATGTCTGTTTATTATCCCTTATCTACGGAGGAAGGCACAAATGTTCCCATGCATTCGCTTTCGAACTCTAAAAATATCCCACATAAGTACAAGGCTAATTGGACATTTTGTTACCATTTTTACCATTGCATGATGCTACTGAAATAAATTCAGTTCACAGTTTCCCTTGAATTTTATGTAAAAATTAATAATTTACGGCGCGAAGAAGAATATTATACTAGTACTTATATGTTTTTATTCGAATAATTTAAAAATGTCCTTCTTGTCTGACGAAACAAATTATAAATGGACAGAAGTTAACTGGAAATAGAGGACCAAATAAAAGCAATTTATTTCTGCCAAATAAAATATTGCATCACGCTGCTTTACTGCATGCGAAAGTTTTAATTACATACATATGTGCTAGCATGTTCAAAGAGATATTACGCATTTTGGGACTTTAATTGAGTTGGGACACGAGCGGATAAAATGTATGAAACATGATCAATGTGAGAAAACATTTTAAGCTAATTCGTTTTTCATTCGATTTTGGTAGAATGTTTGTAAATAATTTGATCGAGTAATCGAATACCCAAATACAGGTATTTATTTAACAAAAATGTCACTGTTATTCCAAGACTGATAATTATAAATTTTTATTTCATTTCAAAAAATAATTAATAAAAAATATTATTTACTCGTCTCTTTAAATAAACTATGTCTATATTCTGTCTGTAATTTCATCTATTTATACTGTGAGAGAAAATGAGAAGTGATTGAATACCTTCCACATAGAAGTAAAGATAATATAATATACATATGTATTAGGGTGTCCCAAAAGTTTCTTCCCTTTTTTTTTGATGCGAAATCAATAGACGATATTTGTTGCTTAAGGTTGATTTATGCCTATATGGTATAATTATATATATTATGGTATGATGCCATGGTACGATGCCATAAACGGAGAATTGATAATCCTGCATATTTACAAACATAGCCAGCTCGAGGACATACATAGCGTGACGCGGAAAGAACTTATGGGACAACCTAATATATTGTATAGAGGGAAGAAAAGAGATTTATACAACGTGTCTTTTCGCTCCAGTTTCTTGCATGGAACTTCTTAATATTTTTCCAGTATAGATTTCTTCCACCGGAAAACTTTTATCTCGCCGTTCCATCTCAGTCATTCAATTATTCAAATATCAGCAGTGACTTTTCCGAATATATTTATAACTTTAAACTCCGAACCCTATACTATATCTTATTAAATCGCAGCTTCGTTTCAATATTGCAGATTAATTAGGAAAAATTAATTTAAAAAATTCGCATTTACAATTTCGTGAAATTATTTTAACCATGTATATAGTATATTTATACTAACTATTAAAAATACGTACAGGTAGCCCTCCTACAACACGGCATCCTATAACACGGTTTCGCTATAACACGATTCATAAATTGTGGGAACCCTCCTACAACACGGTTTCATTATAACATGATAAGAAAATTGCAAATACTTTTGTACAACACTGTACTTCTACACGAGCAGTGACGACGCAGAAATTTATTAAATTAATGTTGCATTAAATTAAAATAATATTTTTGTTTTTTTTTGTTTTGTGTTGCATATACATTTATATTTTTAATAAAAATTAAGTTGTTTATGTTGAATTAAAAAGAAATTTGTTTTTAGAGAGTTTTCGGAACGTAACCCTCCTTTTTGTACTGGCCCTGGGTCTCGTAGAACACGGTTTTGTACAACACGGCATTTTCTAGGAACCTATCTACCGTGTTATAGGAGGGTTACCTGTATTTCCAAATAGCTTTTGTCTCGGTGACTAAAATTTCAAATTACAGTTGTTAAATAATGTATTTTTTAATTTTACGTTACACGTTTTATTTATGTTATTTATTTATATTTATTAACCCTTTCACTACTACGGGTGACTATAGTCACAGGTCACGAGACGCCATCTACACACGACGAGTGCCATAGTCGCCGGTCACGAGACGCCGTCTATACATAACGGGTGACCATAATCACCGGCCACAAAAATTGAGTAAAAATTAAAATAAGTGCTATCGTTCCTCTTCGCAATGAATTGCAAGCAAGCAAGCTATTGCGATGGTTGGTATTTCCTCTTTTTCTTTTTTCCCTTCCAAAGACTTGGCCTCTGGAATACTAAAGGCTTTACGATTTTAATGTTTCCATCATTGGCATAGACTGTAAAATTTTGCCAAGCTCGAAGGATTAATTTGCTTCGTGGAATTAGCTAGGTGGATATAAAGAAGATAATAAATTTCTTCGTCTCGATAGGGTTTCGGCTGTAGAATTTTTTGAGGTTAGAAATTCGTGGCTTATCCTTTTTCCCTTAATTTTGAAATTTTGGAGATACTTTGTGATACCAAGCTTGTGATTACTGGTACAGTGTATGGAAGTTGGTGTATGTATTATTTAAATAACGAGGTTCTGGAAGCTTAGCCCTTTGCACTCGACGATTTTTAGGTTAAAGTAGGGTACGAGTTTAAAAATTTTCTAATGCAAAGCTGACGATATTATTTTGAGCAGTAAATAAGAAATTGTATAATAATTAATACGTAGAATTATTTAATTTTAATACCTCTCACACTGTTACGTTATCTTAAATTTGACATATTAATTAATATAGATCTTCGAAATTTTATGAAATGGCGACTGAAAGGCGAGTGCAAAGGGTTAATTAGTGGAATTAACGAGATCGATGAGGAATATTAAGATATAGCATTTTAGAATACTGAAAATTCGATTTTCCTTGTTCATCAGGACGTTAACGACATTCCACCAGTGTTTACGTCAGTTCCGCGTCCGATCACGCTGGATGACGACGTTCCCATTGGCACAACGGTCATCAATCTTATAGCAACGGATTCCGATGGTACTGCTCCCGGAAATCAAGTACGTATTCATGATTAGTTAATCCGCGAACAACGATCTACGGATGATGACTCGATCATTCTTTGTCCATACGAATATTTTTCCATTATATTTTTTGAGCTATGTTTGCATCATCGTTCCGTTAGATTCCACATGAAATTTAATTTTTATTCCATTATATTCTCTGAACCATGTTTATATTACTATTCTGTTGGATCGTATACAAAATTTCATTATTTTTTTTCTATATTCTTTGAACTGTGTCTGTATTATTATTCTATTGAATCATATATAAATTTTCATTTTCTTTTCACTATGTTTTTTGAATTATGTCTGTATTATATTATTCTATTGGACCATATATAAAATTTAATTTTCTTTTCACTATGTTTTTTGAATTATGTCTGTATTATATTATTCTATTGGACCATATATAAAATTTCATTTTCTTTTCACTATGTTTTTTGAATTATGTCTGCTTTATTATTCTGTTGGACCATATATCAAATTTCATTTTCTTTTCACTGTTTTTTGAATTATGTCTGTATTATTATCTTATTAGACCATATATAAAATTTCATTTCCTTCTTCACTATATTCTATGAGTTATGTCTGTATTATCATTCCATTGTATTGTATATTAAATTTCATATTTTTTTTTTTTTTTTAAGTATTGTACATTATAATTTAATATTCTATATATTATTATACTATTGTTATATTTATTTTCGCACCAAAATAATTTTGTCAAATATTTACAGGCATTTTTTAACTATAATATTACTATAAGAATAGGAAGACAAGAAATTATGATAGCGAATTTCATTTAAAAATCGCATTGATTTACCCACACCATTGCATTTCTTTATTCTTGAACACTTTAACGTTAAGAATGAACATTACTAAGATTATTAGATTCTAGAAACTATATTGCATAATGGAATTATTTAAAAACTATGAAAATATTACGAAAATTGCTCTTTATAACACTTCTAAAATTTCCATGGATATTAAAAGTCACAAGATGGAACGCCAACGTGTTTTCTCGTTTAAACTATAGAGTGCGCTAGCTGCTAAACACATATTCCTTTGTTCCGCTCAGATTTCAAACCGCAAATAGACGTGCTGCATACTGAAATGTCAAAATGGATAAATAATATTCGCAAAATTCCTACAACGATTTTTATCGATCAATTTCTAGGTGAGATACGAAATAATCGGCCGGGGGATATCAAATAAATACTTCGTGATCGATCCAGACACTGGCGTGCTTCGAATACGAGACGATCTGCGAAAGGAAACAGACACTGAGTATCAGGTACGCTGTAAACGTTGTCCGTCTATTTATTCGTGTCGTATGCCGGCATTTTTCATTTCCATTGCATTATTAATCGCGTCATGAAAATCTCTGGTAACGGTAAAAGTATGGACGTTGGTGGAGACAAACTTATTAATATTTCAGGTTGATGTGCGCGCGTACGATATGGGAGAACCGCAATTGTCGTCTGTCACGACGGTACCGGTTTACGTTCATCACGTGGCTACGGTGCCGCCGGAAATCGGTTTGGGTTTCGCGGAAAATTCCTACAACGTCGAGGTACCCGAAGATGCGGGCGACAATACGCTGATCAAGATAATCACGGTCATTAATAGCCACGCACACGACACCACGCCATTGAAATGCGAGATTTATAGCGGTAACGAGAACGAATTGTTCGAGGCGAATGTTACGGAGGAACGGAATTGCGCGCTTAGACTGAAGAAAGGAGCTTTGGATTACGAAACGACGGAATCCTATCAAGTGAAGATCAAGTTGGAATCTTTGTCAGGTTTATTGAACTCTGGCAGGAACACGACAATGGTATGTTCATATAGTGTTAACGTTCTTTTGTGTTGCCTCCTTTGCTGCGTGCCGCCTAGGAATTTACATACATATTAAAAAT